CACAAGGAAAAAGAGAGGAGACAGTGAGGGAGGGGTCCACAGCATGGTTTACACAGACTTCAAAGCCAGGGACAGCCTTGCCCTGGGCCTGTGCTGAGAACTGGAGAAAGGAGGCAGAAAACAAGATTCCTGTCATCAAAAGAGGTACTCCAACTTGAGCTTCAGGATGAGGGAAGAAATAAGGAACAAAAAGGCAAATGGTGGGGAAAGTGGGCAAGTCCCCTGGGAAGGAACTGTTTAGTGCCTTCAACTTGTGCCAAGGAACTGGGAACAAGAAAACCAGCTTGTAAAAATGCCTCCAAACCACAGTTTCTACTCCAAACTGACCTCATGTGAGAATAAAACTTATTTGTGTACTTGAACTGACTATTTGTGCTGGACTGAAGTGGACGGGATCAGAGAGAGGAAAACTTATTTACGAAGAACAAGAACAAGCAACAGTGGGGAGGCCAAGACCAGGAGGTGCCTCTCTCTAACAGATGCCTCTCTCTGCACACAGGTGTCAGACAAGGCAGCTCACCTTTCCTACACATCAGTCATGGCTTCACCGACCCGACCTGACTGTGGAGGAGGTGTGGGCCTGTTTTGTTCTGAGGCACGGCATGCTTCCAGAAGTATTAGGGAAAGGTCACCTAGGAGGCTGCACAGATCTTTGTGTCAGAGGACTTGGAACTTGGTGTCCCCTGAAGTGCAGCTTGACCTTTCTGATGTTTCTGAGAGGCAGACATTGGAGTTGGTCTGGGGATACTTTCTCAGGGCTCTGGTTAAGCCCCAACCTGCTCAACAGTTCTAGGCCTGCCCTGGCATCCTGTTAGGAGGTCCTGAAGTTTCTGAAACAGATTTTCAAAGTGAAGACATTGGAGTTAACTTAGGCTCATGTTAGGGATTAACACTGAAGACATTTCACGAGTTACCAGGGAAGGCTGAGAACTTCCCATAAGGCTGCTGCTGCTATTTTGGGAGAGACTGGTTGGTGACTGACTCTGAACTCAAAATTTTTAGAGTATGTGTGGGATACTTAGAGGATGGTGAATCTGGTCCCAGAATGTTAGTAAATAATTAACACTTCCCTAGGTAGGGGTTACTCAAAACAATTATTCCTTAACGGGACACTCAACTTTAAAAGACCTCATATCAGGATGGCCTGCTTCCTAAGAGCAAGCATGAACCAGCAGCAGCAAGTGGGTCTGGCAGCCTTCCGGAGGGTCTTTCACGGAGGCACAGTGCCTGGTCTGCTGACTTTGTGGCCATTCAGAACATCTTTGGTAATACAGGTCCATGATCCCTCATCTACAATTCCAAATGAAGAGGTCTGAAAGCTATGTGTTCAGGTGGCAGTATGTAAACTTCTTGGACATAAAACCTAACTTGCCCCGAAGCGATTTTTAGCCACTATCTATCCTAAATGTGAATATTCATGCTTCACTGAATTAATACTTTATTCGGTGATAAGGTGTTCCTATGGGAATTAGATGTTATATAGCTAATGCACCCTATTACTTTTTAAAGTCCAAAAAATGCTGAATTCCACAGCATACTTGGCCCCAAAGGCTTGGATAGGGACTGTGGGCCCGGATTGCTGTCTTTGGCTTAAAGACAATTGTAGGGGCCTGTTTCTTAGATCTAGGACGCAGCTAAATCCAACCCCAGACAGCCAAAGAAATATGGTAAAACAGGAGTGGGGTTGAGTTAGGGACAAAACTGAGGCATATCTGAGGGCTAGGGGGACAGTATGGCAATATCAGCGTCCATCATGACCAGGAGTCTGACGAGACAGGAGTCAGCTGCTCCTTGAGGTGGCAGCCCCTTCCCACTCCCAGGATGCTGGCTCTGGGCAACAGCTCCTGTGACCTGAGGGCTAACTGGTCAGGACTCTGTGGTTCAGTTGGAGGAGCTGGACTGATCCTTAGAGAGTCAGGCTGTCTCGCTAGAACTAGAGGCACTGATGACTACTAGTAAATGCCTAATGTACTTGGTGAAGCAGAGCTCTGATTTCTACAAAGAGTCTTTGTCCCCAGTCTCAAGTCCTGAATCTTGGAAGACACACGTGCTATTGCTGTGGCAGCATCCTCATCACTAGAACCTTGTGTGTCTTTCCAGCTAGATTAGAATTTTCTTGAGCACAGAGGCCACCATCTTATTCATCCCTGTGTCCTTGGCACTGAGCACAGTGTTGGGCACTGAGAATGCATCCAGTAAACGTTTGTGAATGAATGAAAGGCCTGCCTATCTAAGGGTCACGTCTTGCTTTGTCCTGACTCCTAGATCACAGACAGATACGCAGCTGGGCAGTTGCATGAAATGGGTCACCTATGTATGACCTTGCTAAGTAGGGATGTGAGAGAATGGAGCTGTATTTATTGGTCACATTTAGCATTTATTTTTCCAATAGTTTATTTAAAACCACCAAATTTCTACTAAGTTTAACTTAAACTATCCCCTGAAGCAGAGGGAGAAGGTAGATTTTGTTGATGGGAAAAAGAGAAGGAAGACTTGGCAAACAAACCTTCTTATTAAGTAACTAGTGGCCCGATGCACAAAATTCTTGCACGGAGGTGGGGGATGTCCCTCAGCCTGGCCTGCACCCTCTCCAATCTGGGACCCCTCGGACATCCCTCTCACAATCCGGGACTGCTGGCTCCTAACCGCTCACCTGCCTGCCTGATCACCCCTAACCACTCTGCATGCTGGCCTTCTCACCCCAACTGCCCCACCTTGCCGGCCTGAGTGCCCCCAACTGCCCCATCTGCTGGCCTGCTCGCCCCAAAGTGCCCCCTACTCGCCCCCAACTGCCACCCCTCGCTGGCCTGATTGCCCCCAACTGCCCTCCCCTCCTGGCTTGATCACCCCTAACCGCCTCTGCCTCGGCCCCGCCACCATGGCTTTGTCTGGAAGGATGTCTGGAAGGTCTTCCGGTCTAATTAGCATATTACCCTTTTATTAGTATAGATAATGTCACGAGCAGTTACAGAGTCAAGGAATTTGGAGATGCAAACAACTTCAGAAATCACCTAAATCATACAGCATTTACATGGTTGCTCCAGAGACACATGGTTGTCATGATCAAGACTGGAACAAGAACCATGTCCCTGAGTTCCCAAATTGGCACTGTTTCTACACTGAAAGTGGGACTGAAGACCTGAGACTGTTTGCATTTTATAAGACTGTCTTACTTCTCATGGTACTTCCTTAAAATGTAAATTTTAAACATCACACAGTAAAGCCTCATTAGGATGGACATCTATAATAATTTCACAACCCGAACTTGTTTGTTACGCTATTAGCAGAAACAGTTGTGGTTAAGAACTAAAATTGCTCACTGGACAGGCAGCTCAATTGGTTAGAGTGTCATGCTGATATGCCAAAGTTGAAGGTTTAATCCCCACTCAGGACACATAAAAATATCAATCAATGAATGCATAAGTAAGTGGAACAACAAATCAATGTTTCTCTTTCTCTAAAATCAATAAAAAACAATTAAAAAAAGAATTAAAATAACTTAACATTTATACTTAATTTATATATCAGACTGACTGCCTACAAAATTCATTAGAATAAGTGAGGTTTAACTGTGTATACAACACACACACACACACACACACACACACACACACACACACATAAAAGACATTTTTGGATTGTTTCAAAATGTTTCCAGAAGCCCATGTACTAATCCACAACTTCAAGATGACAGAAAAAACTTACCACTGCCAGCACTACCCTCTCTCTTGCCGCGGGAACCTCCGGGGCCATCTCTGCCAGACTTTATACGCTAGAACAAGAAGAAGATGACTTTAAAAGAATAACTCATATTTCTTCAAAGTTGAATATAACTAAATGTTAATTTTTAAATTAACATTACTATGTAACTCTGAAGACTTATTGCTCCTACATTTCTGAAAGCTGGGGTCAAACTGATTATTACTTGAATCGCTTCTATAGGAATAAAGACTATGTTGTGTAACTTAGAGATTCAAAGTCTGCCCTGTAACATGCTGAGTGATCAGTCCTTGTCACACTCAAGTGGCACTTATACTTCAAACTGCAGTGAAATCTCTGCTTATACAAACATCCTAAAAACCAAATATTCTCTTTTTTAAAAAACATGTTTTTATTGATTTTAGAGAGAGAGGGAGAGAGAGGGGTAGAGAGAGAGACAGAAACATTGATGAGAGAGAAACATCAATCTGCTGCCTCCTGCATGCCCCCTATTGGGGATCGAGCACCAACTGGCTCAATTCTAGGACCTCTTGGTTCATGGGTTGATGCTCAACCACTAAGCAACACTGGCCAGGCCCCAAATATTCTGTGGATGGGGAAGTTCAGGTTTAGACACAATCGTTTGGAATGGAGGGTGGGTAGAAGGGAAGAGAATCTATTAAAAGGCTATTTCCTGCATTGTTCTACTCTACAATGGTTGAACCTAAACTATTACAGGGCTAAAGGCAAAATGGCTTTTGAAATTCAACTTCTACAATAAATGTGCTATTAACATCTCACAAAATGCCTAATCTGTTCAATTGTCTACTTTCTTAAACACAAACTCACCCTTAAAGAAAAATACCTCCAGTCCCAGCAACAACACAGAGCGGGGTAATGATTAAAGAACCAGCTCTGGACAGGGGACTTCCCCAAACCAGTTTTAAGTGCAATAGAGAAAATAAACCCTAACTACTGGATAGAGAGGCCTTATAGCCTCGGAGGTCAATCCAGAAACACTGCCACCCAGAGGCTGAGCCACAAACTGACTCTTAGGTAAACACAAATTAAGGCAGTCTGGAAAACAAATACGGCCAGCTTTAAAATCAGGACTGTGGTTTACAACACGGAGGAACAGTGTATCGCAGGGAAATTCAACACTCTCCTGAATACCTGGCAGGACTAAGGCATGCCAGACTTAAGAGTAGAAGAACCGAAGGACCTTCACTACTGCAAATTTTTATTTATTTATTTTTTATTCTTTTTTCACCTTTTAACTAAGAAACCAATTTTTTTCTTTCTTTTTCCATCACCTGGTTTTACCCTTTTAATGACTACATTTTTATTTTTAACCAGTATTATTACTGCTACCATTTTACCATTTTTTAAAGTGTCATTTTATTTTCTCTTTATTTTGGGATTAGTGTTCTACATTCTATTTTCATCGTTCCTTTAGCATCATTTTTCTCTATCTCAATTTTACCTCTATGCTAAAACCCTCTTCCTCACTTTTCCCCTTTCGTTGTCCTGTTTCTCTTACCCTATTCCTGCTTTAGATTTTCCCTA